GAGACGGCCAGGTATAAGAACAAAGGTTCCCTATCGACTGGTCGAGACAGTACGGGTGGTTGGGATAGGCTTTGTTTTAGGTGGCGCAACACTCGTTCACATTCCTCGGTACATTCGAAGGCTGCCTCTTTACGAAGGAGCTTGAAGAAGGGGAGGGCATGCTGGGCGGATCTCGCGATGAAGCGGGACAGCGAGGTGAGCATGCCGTTCATGACTTGTATTGACTTTTTCGACGTGGGTGTCGGAAGGTCGGAGAAGGCCCTGAACTTGTCGGGATTGGCTTTAATTCCTCGTTCTGTCAGATAAAAACTGAAGAATTTCCCTGCCTTGACCCCGAACGTGCACTTCTCGGGGTTGAACCTCATCTTACATTGTCTTTCTTGGGCAAAGACTGCTTTGAGGTGGGCTGCATGATCGGTGTCTGCTCTGGATTTGACGATCATTTCGTCCATGTAAACCTCGAGCATGTCCCTGATTTGGCTACGAAACACTTTTTTCATCATACGTTGGTATGTCACCCCTGTGTTCTTCAGACCAGAGGGCGTTACGTTATAGTAATAGTTGCCCGAGCTGGTCATAAAAGCAGTGCAATGCTTGTTGCTCACGGCCATTGGGATTTGGTTATAGCCTGAATATGCATCCATGAATGACAGTATTTTGTAACCGGCCGAGTTGTCGACCAGCATGTCTATATTTGGTAAAGGAAAAGCATCTTTCGGGCATGCCCGATTGAGGTCGGTATAATCAACACACATTCTCCATTTTCCATTATTCTTTTTGAATAATACAACCTTTGACAGACAGGTTGAATACCAGGCTTCAGAAATAAAATTTGCCTCTAAGAGGTCTTTTACAGCTTTTTCAGCAGCCTCCGTTTTCTCCGGAGACTGCCTACGTCTATGTTGTACTACCGCCCTAGCGGCTGGATCTATGGCGAGACGGTGACAAGCGACCTCGGGGTCGAGTCCGGGCATCTCTGCGGCGCTCCACACGAACAAGTCAGCATTCTCGCGCAAGCATGCTCTGATCTGCTTCCTCGCCAGGTTGGGGAGGTCGGTACCAATCTTCACTCCTTTGCTTGCGTCCTCGCCGAGGGGAACGAGCTCTAAGTCCCCGTCCGGAATTGGTCGGAGGGGGGCTTCCTCGCCGCTGGGAGGTTCACCCTGGTCAAAGCAGGTGTCCAAGGCTATGGAGTCTACCATTGGGGGAGCTTTCTGTTCTTCCGCATTGATGGGCTCTGTCTTCTCGGGCTCTGGTCGTGTCGTCGCTGGTCTCTTGGCGGGCCTTGTCCTAGTGTCGACCGTGTCGCGTCCCTTGGACGCCGCGTTGAAACACCTTCGAGCAGCGGCCAGGTCCCCTTGGATGGTGGCTACCCGTGCCCTCTTGGTGTAAAACTTCATCTTCAAGTGGACGGTAGAGGGTACCGCGGTCAGTTCCTCCAGTGTTGGTTTTCCTAGGATGCAGTGGTAGAGGGACGGGCAGTTGATCACGAGGAAGCTCACCTTGACCTGCCTCGTCATTGTGTCCTCGCCAAAGGTAACCATGAGTTCGACGTATCCCCAAGGTTTGGAGGTCGAGCCGTTGAAGCCCTGTAGGTTCGACCCCATATAAGGTGAGAGATGTGAGTCGTCGAGCTGCAGGGTCTGGAATAGTTGACTGTACATTACGTTAACGGAACTTACTTCATCGATGAGAATGCGGTGTACGTCAAAATTAGCCATTCTCGCTCTTATTAGTAGAGGAATGACCGCGTTGGGGGCTCCTCCGGGGAGCTCTTCGAGGTAAAAGGTGATAGGCTCCGACCTACCTTTCACCCTTTCAAAAGTCACCGTTTGAGGAGGTGCAGAGTCGACCAGTTCATCCAGCTTCTTCTTGGCCGAATTTATGGTTAGGTCGTTGAATCCTCCACCATTGATGACCATGGCGAAGGGAAAGTGCTCCCACCTGCTGTGTGTTGACAACGGCTCTTGCAAGATCTCGGGGACGTAGAAGTCCTCAGGTCTTGTGACGGAGAAGGCGGTCTGGATGGGGACCGACTCGTCAGATGGTTGGGCATCCTCCTCCGATTCTCTTGTCTCTCAGGCTTCGCGACGAGGAGCGTCGTTTCGCCGATATTTGGCGAGTCTCCCCCCTTTTATGAGGGTCTCGATGGCGTCCTTGAGGTGGACGCAGTCCTCCGTCAGATGACCATGGCTCCTATGGTACTGACAATATTTGCTCTTGTCCACCCCGGGCTTGGCAGGAGCAGGTCGAGGGCGCTTGACGCTGCCATCTTTGAAATCCATGCTGGCACACTCCGCCAAGATGCGCTCGCAGGAAGCCGTGAGCGGAGTGTATTCTGTGAAACGCCCCGAGGGTCCTCTCTGTTCTCATACTTCTCGGGGTTTGTCATCCTTTCTTTTCTCCCCGGCTCGTCGAGGAGGAGCGGCCTCTTGGCGGGGGTTGTTGTTGGATCCGCGAGTTTTGGGGTCACGGGCTCTGTTGGCCGCTTCCCTTTCCTCGTAATCCATATAGGCCCTAGCTTTCTCGAGGAGAGCATCGAACGTTCGGGATGGTTCGATGCCCACTGCTTTTCTGAACTCAGTGCCGGGGAGGAGTCCTCTTTCCAACAAGTATCTTTTCATGTGGTCCACGCAGGGGACCTGGATGGCTTCACGATTGAAGCGGTTGATGAATTCTCTCAAGGTTTCATCCTACCTCTGGATGATAGCCTCGAGCGCCGCTTCGGTCTTTGGATGTCGCCGCGACGCGGTGAATGAGCTTATAAATTGGTTTTTCAAGTTCCTCCACGAGGTGATTGACCCCGGGGCAAGACCCTTGTACCAATCCATTGCTGCTTTCCTGAGGGTTGTGGGGAACAACCGGCATTTGATGGGTCCCTCCATGTTATGGCAGTGCAGCATAGCTTCGAACCCGTCTATATGGTCGACTGGGTCGGCAATTCCGTCGTATTCCTTCAGGTGAGGGGGCTTCTCTGTGCCCGGGGGGATTGGAGCCTCCATGATGGCTTGTGATAGGGGACCGCGGGGGTCGTCCTTATCACTCCGTTCTAGGGAAAGGGACGGGGATCTGAGGTATTGTCGGGCACGACGGTCCTGATCGTGTTAGGTGTCCCTCGAGCGGTGCGCTCATTGGTCCGTCCTTCCGTGCCTGTCTCCAGGATGTCTTCTTTCTTTCCGTAAGAGGCCGTGGTTGCGCCCTCCGGTTTCAATGATCGGTTCCCTCTCCAAGAGGGGTCGTCTCCCCGGTTGTCGGGGTGAAGGGCTTCGGGAGGTGTCTCTGTATTGTCTCCACGGGGGAGATGGGAGACGTACCTCTGTCCTTCAAGGAGGTGGGGTCTGAGGCCTCCTATGTCTCCTCGCGGGTCTTCTGTCGTCCTCCAGCGCCCTCAATCTTTCCCCCTGGGAAAAGATGAGGTAGTTAGTCTGATTGATTGCCGTGAACAGTGCCCTGGTCGTGGCATCTGCCCCAGCGGGGACAAGGACTTCCTGGAATTGGGCGGCTAGGTGGCTCGGGGGAGCCGTATTGTCTTCTTCGAGTGGAGGGGGGACTGAAGAAGATGAGGCAGTGGCTTCGTCGCGGTGGCATGAGGGCCCGGGGATGACGTCCCCGAGGAGTGTGTTATGATCGGGGTTACCGACGTTGTCGGGGATTCCGTTCTTGTCCGCGAGGTTGTTGTTGGCATCGACGATGCAGACGTTCTGGTCATCCCGAATTTGGTCAGCCATGACGGTAGGAGGTGATTTTTAGCTTTGGTCTTTGAGAGTTTGTAAGACGGAGAAGCTAGTTTCCCACAGACGGCGCCACTGATCTCACCGGATCAGACTTGGACCGTCACAGCTGGCTCGAACTGAATTTGAGTGAGATGGGGGGGGGGGGGGGTACCTGCAAGACACTCCGATGCTAAAATGAGGGACGGAATGAGCAGACAAAAAGTATGTAGGCGTGTAATCGATGAATACCTGACCCTCTTGGAACAGAGGGTATTTATAGCCCCCAGCGCTGGGTCAAGGTCCCCTCATTGGGCTGACCAGAACTGGCCCAATAAAGGAACTGCCAGGTTCTACGTGTGTAGTGGGGTCCCGCACCTGGTCCCCTCCCTGGTGGTGCTTTGCGAAGAATAAGGAGGGACGAAGACGCGGTCTTTCCGGAGCTTAGAGGATTCTATAACGATTAGAGTGGACAGAATTTGCCCTACGGGGAGGGTGCTCGAGCTGGACTCGAGCTGGAGTTCCCTTGGTCGGAGACACTGCTTGTCGCGGACAATGGCGGACATAACAACTGCAGTTTATGGTCGGGCACGTTCGGTGATGGTCCGTTTGTGAGCATTCCCCGAAGAGTTGCTTGAATTTGGGCCTTTATCTGCACTTTGGGCCAAGGCGGGCCCAATCCAGAACACTTTTTATTAATATATAAGATATTTATTTTATTTAATTATATAATTATATAATAAAATATTTATTTAACTAGAACCAAATTGAAAAGTCATATATTAAATTTAGTGTGGTTGGCGTTTCATTTTTGTAGTCTGTTTGGGCCATTGAAAATTTCAACCGTACATACCTTTCGTGAGAAGCTTCTACCTCTTAACATTTCAATATGGCTTTCTCAACAATTTGTATAATCCAAAATTTCAAAACCTGATTCATGAATTCGTCCATGTTTTCGAAGGAGTTCTTTGGGAATCCAAAAGGAGTTCTAATAAACTTTTATCTTGATCCTTATCCAATATTCAAAAGTTTTCTCTACAAATCACCCTTCAAACAAACTATATAACAAACTTTATTTCCTTCTCATTACACACACGCATACACCGAAAATCACCACCAAAATACCATAAATCTCTGCCACACCTTCACCCTTCATCCCTCAAAGCTTCTGTGCGTGAACTCTCACGTCAACAATCCTTGCAACCGAAACTAACCACGCCTTTACCGCTAACTCACCATGCATAGCAACACACTTAACCAATACAAAACAACAACAACAACAATATTCGCTCATCTCAGATCGCTGCAGAAAAGAAGAAGAAATAGAAGCTCAGATTTGCAGCCAAAGTCACACAAAGAAGAATATTCTAATAACTAAGTAGAGCACACATACCTTTTATTTTCGTCTGTATTTTTTCGTTTATGCTTTTGGATTTCTACAGAATCTTGTATCTATAACCTTGAATATTTGAGATCTGAATTGGGGCTCAAAGGTTTGATTTAGGGTTTGGTTTTTTTTTGTGTTTGATGTTTGAACCTGTGAGAGAGACTGAGAGGAATTTTTTACTTGTGTTGTTTTAATTTTCTCTGAAGAAACGATAATGAAGCATAAAGAAAGGGAGGGGAATAGAATAGGAGATATTATATATATATATATATATATATATATATATATATATATATATATATATATATATATATATATATATATATATATATATATATATATATATATATATATATATATATATATATATATATATATATATATATATATATATATATATATAAGTAGTAAATGTATAGGATAGAGTTAGTTGTGAATGGAGAAAAAGTTAGTTAGAATATCTAACTAACTTCATTTCTTAGTAACTAACTTGTGGTAGCATGCATGAGATCTATATATAGCATGTACATGCTTTGTATTCATTTGATGAATTATAATAAAATCTCAAGGAGACCTTGAGTTCTCTCTCTATCCTTCTCTCTCATTATCTCTTAGTCTCTATGATTCATTCATCTTCATCATGTATAATCATGTTTATCGATGAAGTGTGAGTTTTCAAACTCTAACATGGTATCATTCGCCTAAGGGGACCGTTTTATTATGCTACATGATCATCATCATCGATATCGGTTTCATCTCGACGGTGGTGCAAGTTGATTCAAGAAAGCATTTGTTTTTTATACAAAATTTTGCAGAGCAAAGAAATATTCAAAGAAGATTAGTGCAAGTTGCTTCAAAGAAGCATCAATTGGAAATTTGAAGAGTAAATAAAGTTTCAAAGAAGCTTGGTGCAAGTTACTTTAAAGAAGCACTACGCCAAAAACAAGTTTTAGCAGCGCCTCTACTAAAGCGCTTATTGAAAAAGCGCTGCCATAGCCTTCACAAAAAACAAAATTAAAAAAAAGGGAAACCTACGAAGGCGCTTTTTTAAAAGCGCTGGCATAGGGTTCCCTACCAAAGCGCTGGCATAGGGTTCCCTACCAAAGCGCTTTTCAGAAAGCGCTTTCATAGGTATTTGAAATATCTAACCTACGAAAGCGCTTTTGAAAAGCGCTTTGGTAGGGAACCCTATGCCAGCGCTTTTGAAAAGCGCTTTGAAAGGGGGACCTACGAAAGCGCTTTTTACCTCAGAAGCGCTTTGAAAGGGGGACCTATGCCAGCGCTTTTTAAAAGCGCTTTCGTAGGTTGTTTTTATAATAAAATTAAAAATCCCTAAATCTTCTTCATTTCTTTCGTTCAGAGCTTCTTCATTTCTTCATTTCTTCATTACAGAAAACGAAACCCAGTTTGTTCATCTTCTCCTCCGTTGTAACTCCAAACGCCTAGCACCATCACCGTCGAATCTTCGGCCCACGACTAATTCAAATTTTCAATCCAAGTAAGTGTTCCTATCATTAAAGCCTGTGCTTCTGTAATTGTTGTTTTTGGTGTACATCGTGACTAGAGTGTTTGTTCTTGTTATTACAAAACCCTTCAACAGTTAGCAAGAACGAAACCCAAGGGATTTTGAAGGTTGGCTGTTACTTGTTAGAGGAAAGATCTAAAAGTTCATTTCACTTTTTCCATTTCTTTGGTTTGAGGTAAGAATTCTTACTCATTTTTCTTAGTTTTAGATATTGCATATTAACTGTTTGTGAAATGTTCTACATGATTGTTCCTAATTAAGGGTATGTTAGAGGGTTAGGGAAATGAAGTTGGATTTACGGGTCCTAATTTTAGGGACAATGCTATTGATATTGATAATGTTAGTTATAATACTGTTGTTTGGGGATTCTGTGAGAAAGGGTTGGTTGATCAGGGTTTTGGTTTGTTGTCTGAAATGGTTAAAAGGGGTTTATGTGTTGATTCGTTCGCTTGTAATATACTAGTTAAGGGTTATTGTAGAGTTGGATTGGTTCAATATGCTGAATGGGTTATGTACAACGTGGTTGATGGCGGGGTTTCGAAAAATGTTATTGGTATAGGTTTCATCTATAGTTTTTTTTTTTGGATGATATTTCTATTTACCATATAGTAGTTGACTAAAGATCCGTTCTTAGAGAAGAAGCGAGCAACTGAGAAGGCGATGTCTTCTGCAGATCTTTGGGACGGTGGATCTCCGAATACTCTATACCTGTAGTTGCAAATTATGAACATATATATACTTATACATAAGTACTTGTGAAACTGTCGGAGAAAAAACTTAAGAAAACAACTTATGACATATCAGGTTCCCTAATACTAAAGATAATTAACTTACTGAGCAGTCCAGTTTTCAGTCCAGATGGATGGTTTGTATGGTTTGTTTGGACCTGTGAAGGTATCACCACAGTGCCTTCCATTGCAAGCATTAATCTGCGAAATGAAGTACATATAAGCTTTATCTCGCGGGATGAAAAAAATCATGCCAAATTGATTATACATGGAACTTACAACTGGATCAGGAGCATCCTTTTGCTTGCACATGATCCATGGAACTCCGTTATATAGTGAAACTGCCATTTTTGCAGCCCATTGAACATAACTATCTCCTTCATGTTCATAAGCAAGTTGGATATGGTTGTACTCATTCTCAATCTGCAGCACATACATAAAAAAATGTTAGAACTTCATATATATATATAACATGAGATGATCATGCGTCGTAAAAATCAGAACCTGTGCCAAGATGATAGGGCCTCCTTCTGGAGCAAAGAGTTTTTCTTGTTTCATTTTTTCTATAATCGATGATACATATTCTGTCATATGTGTCTGCAAATTACAAAGTGTTATTAATTTCACATTTCATTAATCCTAAATCATCTGTTACATTATCATGATTGTTTACCTTAAAAGGTTCATTATTCGAACGGAATATGATGTCGGGGACCTCTCTTAGCCAATACGGAAGTCCTCTGTCACATTAACATTATATCAATCAAATCATTATCATTCATACTATATAATCTATAAATAACATTGCAGAATCCACATATATACCCATGATTCCATTCAGCTTGGATGAAAGGGCCAACTCTAAGGGTAGCATACATTCCTTTCTCTTGTACAAGCCTAAGGAATCTTACCAAATCATACCTGCCTTCAAAGTTCGACTGCATATATATAGGACATTAATTAATATGAATGTATATATATTCAAAAATAGATCCGGTTCGAGAAATAATTTATGTACCTGGCCTTTCTCAAACTCTTTTCTTTGGTCCTATGGTTTCATGTTTGACTAGATAAATGATATGATCGGTGTTCTTTGTGTTTTTATGTTCAATGATGTACATCTGTTGGTGCCTTCCACACACCTCTGTGTTCAATTTAAACTTGACAGGTACCTGGCAGATTTGAATTTTAAATAACTACATCAAGGCAATGAAATTCTTCTTCTTTTCTTTGTTCTTTTAAGTAGTACTAATCAAGAGTAGGGAAGCTGTTAATTTTAATACTATATTAATAATCTAATAAATTTGAACTAAACTATTTTATGGAAAACAATATGACAAGGTTTAACATCCTATCCTTGTGTACTTATCAAAAGTTTATTCTAAAGATTTAGTTAATCTTGATTATTATATTTTGATTCATATATATGGAAGGAATGCAACTTCTTATCTCATTTGAACTCTGTACCTTAAGTTCACAAGGATAAGCTCTTATTACTTAGGTAGCATCTTAAGTGCAACAAATGGAAATCTCAAATATATATATGGACTGAATATAATTGTTTGAAATCCGACTTCACTATTGTTTGAATATAATTGTTATTACCTGTATCCAAGACTGAATCACTAGTATCCGACTTCACTAGTTAGTAATTAGTGATGAGTTGTTTAGCACATGCTTAAGGTGAGGCAAGAATAACTATGAATTTGATTACCTGATATGTTGAATTTCTTTACAGGTAATTAATTATTATTTTGCTATAGTTGCGTGACTAATTAGTTGCTATAGTCAAACCATGGATAAAAAATGGATGACTGCCAATCGATTGTCGAAAGAGTATGAGGATGGGGTATCAGAATTCGTTAAGTTTGCCGTTGCGCACGCCAGAGAACCCAATGGAATGATATGTCCTTGCTTGAGATGCTGTTATGGGAGACGGGTTGACGCGGTTCAGTTGGAATCGCATTTACTGATGCATGGAATTGATAGAAGTTATGCATGTTGGAATTTGCATGGTGAGAAAAGTAGCGGGAATGTTGAATCGAGTTATAATACGACGTATGCTTCAAATGAGGATTTCGCAGACGCATACGATTATGATCGAGTCGAAGAGATTGCAGAAGCGCTTGAAGAAGATCTTGAGGATTGTCCCAAAATGTTCGAGAGGTTGGTAAGCGATGCAGAGAAACCGTTGTATGATGGTTGTACAAAATTCACAAGATTGTATGCGGTGTTAAAGTTGTACAACTTAAAGGCGGACAACGGATGGTCGGATAAAAGTTTCACACAGTTATTAGCCCTCGTGAAAGAAATGCTACCAGAGGATAATGTTCTTCCCAATCGAACGTATGAGGCCAAAAAGATGTTGTCCTCTATTGGCATGAGCTATGAAAAGATACATGCATGTCCAAAAGATTGCGTTTTATTTCGAAACGAGTACGCAGTGTTAAATGAGTGTCCTAAATGCGGTGCCCCTCGATATAAGGAAAAGTTGTCTCCGGAAAAGGTGTTATGGTATTTTCCTATAATTCCGAGATTTAGGCGCATGTATCGTAGTGAGACCGATTCAAGACACTTGACTTGGCATGCAGATGAAAGAATTATTGATGGGAAGTTGCGACATCCGGCAGACTCACCACAGTGGACGAAAGTTGATATTGATTATCCTGAATTTGGAAAAGAAGCAAGAAATCTTCGCTTGTCGTTGTCTACTGATGGAATGAACCCGCATGGTATTCAAAGTATCTCGCATAGCACCTGGCCTGTGATTCTTATGATATATAACCTACCTCCGTGGCTATGTATGAAGCGTAAGTACATGATGCTATCTATGTTAATTTCTGGGCCCAAACAACCAGGGAATGACATAGACGTGTACTTGGCACCCTTAGTCGAAGATTTGAAGTTTTTGTGGGAGACCGGTGTGGAGGTTTACGATGGGTATAGGAAAGAAAGTTTCAACTTGAGGGCGATGTTGTTTGGAACAATTAATGATTTTCCGGCGTACGGAAATCTATCAGGGTACAGCATTAAGGGTCAAAAAGCGTGTCCTGTTTGTGAAGATGAAACCGATACGATGCGATTGAACTTTTGTCAGAAGAATGTTTTTCTCGGTCATCGTAGATTCTTAAATTCTAATCATCACTATCGTGGGTGGAGAAAGGCATTCAATGGAGAGGCAGAACACGGTAGAGCTCCACATATGTTGACAGGTGATCAGATTTTTGAAAAGGTGAAAGATGTGAGTACTGAGTTTGGCAAGCCTTTTGCACATAGACTTGTCACGAGTGGGTGGAAGAAGAGGTCGATTTTTTTTGAACTTCCATATTGGAAGTCATTGTACGTAAGACATTTCCTCGATGTTATGCATATTGAAAAAAATGTATTTGATAGTGTCATTGGTACGTTACTCAATATACAAGGAAAGTCTAAGGATGGCATTAACATAAGGAAGGACATGTTAAACATGGGAATTAGAACTGAATTGGCACCCGTGACGAAAGGAAGACGCACATATCTACCACCTGCTGTTTACACTCTATCTAGAAAGGAGAAGAAAATATTGTGTAAGTTCCTCAGTGAAGTTAAAGTTCCAGAAGGCTACTCATCAGATATTAGAAGACTTGTGTCAATGAAAGACCTAAAGTTAAAGAGTTTAAAGACTCATGATTGCCATGTTATAATGGAACATTTTCTACCAATAGGTATACGTTCTATTCTGCCAGAAAAAGTAAGGAGCGCAATAACTAAGTTGTGTTTTTTCTTCAAGTCAATATGCAGCAAGGTGATCGATCCTGCGATCTTACCAACATTGCAAAAAGAGGTGGTTGTTACTTTATGTGAGCTTGAAATGTATTTTCCTCCCTCGTTTTTTGACATAATGGTTCATCTAGTCGTTCATCTTGTCAAAGAGACACAGTTGTGCGGACCAGCTTATATGAGATGGATGTACCCTGCTGAACGTTATATGAAAATTTTAAAAGGGTACGTGAAAAACCGAAGTCGACCGGAGGGTTGTATTGCGGAACGATACATTGTTGAAGAAGCGGTTGAGTTTTGCACTGAATATCTGTCAAATGTTCAATCAATTGGACTCCCCAAATCTCATATTGTCGAGAAAAAAGAAGGAAAAAGACTAATTGGAAATAAAGTTGTGACAGTGTCAATGGTCGAACGGGATCAGGTGCATTTGTATGTTCTGCACAATGAGATTGAGGTTGAGCCGTATGCTGAAATGCACAAGGGTGTTCTTCGAGGTTTAAATCTGAATAGAAATGAGAATTGGATAGTACGAGAGCACAATCGAAGTTTCATACCGTGGTTTAAGGAACAAATTTATTCAAAGTATCGTTCGGATCCTGCTTCAGTAACAGAAAGGTTGAGATGTTTAGCATATGGTCCAAGTATGATTGTGTTTTCTTATAGCGCATACGCAATTAATGGATACACATTTTATACCAAAGAACAGGATGATAAAAGTACTATGCAGAATAGTGGTGTTACCTTGGTAGCTGAAGCGATGCACATATCAAGTGCGAATGACTTAAACCCGAAATTTGCAAATCTGTCATATTTTGGGGTTATCGAGCGCATTTTGTTGTTTGATTACGGGAAGTTTCAGATTCCTGTATTTGATTGCAAGTGGGTTGAAAATAATAATGGCGTACGAATGGATAAGTCAGGATTTTTGCAAGTGGATCTCAATAGGGTGGGGTACAAAGATGAACCTTTTATTCTAGCCTCTCAGGCTAAACAAGTGTTCTATGTCAATGATCCGACAAGTACGAAATGGTCTATAGTGCTTTTGTCTAACAAAGTAATTGATGAAAACATTGGAGATCAAGGTGATATTGGCGTTGGCATTGAATCTTGTACAAGAAACGATCAAAATGAGAATGAACCTTGTACTAGAGATGATCATAATGAGGGTATTTGGATCAATCCAACCATCCGAGTTGTTAACAGAAGCGTAAAATATATTGCTACCAAGAAAAGAAAGAGACGTTAGTGAAAAAGGTATTATTATAATTATAGCCTAATATTGTAAGTAATATGTGAATAATGTTTTGAATTTTTGGCATATCTTTTGAACCGTTTTGAATTTTTGCGAATGTGCTTGTGCTTAATTAGTAGAACAATGTTTCCGGAGCTGATGGTGAGGTTTATTTCTTGCAAGTTTGGTTTTTTAGCATTTTATTCAATTTTGAGTTCCTTTAGTGCTATTCATATCTTTTTCGACTATCCATTTTCATGTAGTGTACTAATGTGCTTGTTTGACTTTTGTTACAGGTCTAATGGCTAGCAATGAAGAAAACCCGCAAGGAAACCAACAAGAAAATCCACCAGGAAACCAACAAGATCATGAAAACTCACAAGAAACAAATCATGCAGCGGATGATACTTCAGCAAATGATGTTGCACGAGGCATCACCATAATGCGCGAAATCATTCGTGCTAGAGATAAGGGAGTGAAATATAATGTAGATTGGAATCATTCAAATCAATTAGTTGGGGTTAATGCTTCAAAATTCACAAGCTACGTTGGTACACTTGTTCGTATGCATGTGCCAATCTCCATATCTAGATGGAATGCGAAACAATGTGAAGCATTGAAGCAAGGAAAAGAAATGTTTTGGGAAGATGTTAAGGTATGTATGTTATATGGTTTATATGGTTATATGTTTATAAGTTTATAAGTTTATATGGTGTATATGGTTTTTAAACTACTTATATGTTTATATGGTTTATATGGTTTTTAAATTACTTATATGTTTATATGGTTTATACGCAGCGGTCTTTTAACGTTCCAGATGAGCGTAAAGGCTTCATACTTGGGTTGGCCGGGAAAAGATTTAGAGGGTGGAAAAATCTGTTGACGAACACCTATCTTAAGGATGACAAAGGAAAGTGGCTGGAAGAGTTCCCGGCCGGAAGGCCAGAAAAGTATAATCTTTTCATTAAACAAGAAGATTGGACTGAGTTTATTAGACAAAGAGATGACGAATTCCGACAAAAGAGTGCCAAAAATAGTGAGAGAGCATCAAAGCCCGCGTACCCATACAAAAAAGGGCGTTTGGGATATGCGCGCTTAGAGGAAAAAATTGTAAGTAATAAATAGAAATGATATGTTCTTATTAATTGTCTAAATGTGTTGTATTTGACGATCTAACCGTTTGTTTCTATGCATAGTTAGAGGAGACGAAAAGTGATGAAACCTCACTTCCAGCACATTTGCTGTGGAAGGAAGCCCGTGTGGGCAAGAATCAAGCTGTTGATCCAAGTGTTCTAAGAATTTATGATGAATGCGTAAGTATAACATTGTGTCTTTAATTAAATCAAATTTTTATGACTATTTAATTGATTTTTTTATCTCCATTATTTCCAGGAGACATTGTCACAAACGGAGTCCACCGGTGACGACCAGGATACGAGGAGCGTACTTAGTAAAGCACTGAATGTTCCTGAGTATTCCGGTCGGGTTAGGGGTAAAGGTCACGGTGTGACTCCAACCTCTTTCTACCAGCATCATCGGAAAAGAAATCCTACCAATGCAGAAGTGATGAATGTACTTATGGAATTACAAGCAAAAGTCAATGCATTGGAAAGAGATAAAGAGGTATTAATGAGGGAAAAGGGCAATGCGGCAATGGCGAAAGAAACTAGTGACAACGCTAGTATCAACCGTCAGAATAAATTTCCTGAGGTAATTATAAATATATTGATAAATCTCTATTGTTCAAGTTTCTCATTTTTATTCCACCTCTTTCTATTATTGAATTAAAAGTAATATGTATGCATATTGGTTTAGGGCATTTCATCTTGCCAACTATACGTAATGGCATCAGATTATCACCTTGTTGGCAAGGGAAAAGTGTACAACACTTTGGGAGATTTAATTCATAATACACCGATCCCGGCTGGACACCTGAGAGTATCAATAGATTATCCTATTGATCCCGATGCGTTGGTACCGGTACCTGACGTGGCCTTGGATATAAGATCGGTGCGAGACGCGGTAGGGTCGTTTGTTGCATGGCCCTTGGACCTCATTTTCATTGATGATGAGGTAAGTTTAAAACTGTTAATATGAATCATTTAGATTTCAAATGTCAATTCTGAACCGTTAAGTTAATTATTTTTTAATATTAGCCTCCTACAAAACCCGCTAATAAGGGTAAGGAGATTTTGCAGCAAGGCGGCGAGTCTATGGCATCAATTCCAGAGGTACACTTAAATTGTTTATTATATGATATGAATTTAAAACTGAACGATTTTATAATTTACCTAAGTTATATGATTGTTAGGTATCTGCGAAAGTGTCACAACAAGTGACCCAGCCTGTTCGTAGCAGACCACCCCCGAAAAAGTCAATGCATAAGGGGGGAAGAGGCGGGGGAAGAGGCGTTTTTGTACCTCGATATCGGAATACACTTGGAGTACTTTTGGAAACCTCAGATTTGAAGTCAGGTGGTATTCGTACAATCCTTATGGATGCAGATATCTTTGGTCTTGACTGCCAAGAAACGATAGGATTGGACGAAATGACTGAGATTATGACGCATGGTGAATTAGGCATCGGCAATGTTCACGCATACATCCGGTATTCCGATAAATATATCATTTAATTAGTTGAACAATTTATTTACACATTTCAATGAAAATAGTCTAATGTTTATATGTTTTTATTTAAGGTTGTTGTACGATAAAAAAATGCGCGAGACTGTATTGGCAAGACGCTTCCATTTCTTGTCTGCCCATATTGTCAGCGGAGCGACAATTGTCAGGGAACCGGGTTCAGTTAGGGAGTACTTAGTGAATCGATACACGGCCTACGTCGGCAACCCAGATAGCTTGTTTATTTTGCCGTATAACACTGTTCCAGTGGGGTGAGTTTTTCATTTATTCTAATATATCTTTGTTTATTTTGCGTAGAAACTTTTCTTCTAAACTGTTGCTTAAATTTTTAGAAAACACTGGTTGTTGTTGGCTATCGATCCGATTAAAGAAGTTGTGTACTTTCTGAATTCGGTAGACGGGGAATGGACTAACTATCCCGCTATGAAAGAAACTGTTGATCAGTAAGTGAGATCGTTCTAACTATTCGTGTATATTTATATATTTAATTATTTCTGTGAGATTGATCTAAATATATGTTTTTATTTTCTTAGATCAATACAAATATTTCGTAGTCAAAGGGACGCACAGGTACCCCGGAGTAAATCATCAAATATTACTTGGATCAAAGTGCAGGTACAAAATTAGTTGCTTATAATAATAATGTTACTTGATAAAATTACACGACAACTATAAAATATATTCTGTTTTTCTATGCAGTGTCCGTTACAGAATAACGATGTAGATTGCGGATACTTTTGCTTGAGGTTTATGAAAGAAATCCTTCATAAAAATCAAGTAGAGATTCCAAGCACGGTATGGATTTATAACTTAGAATAATTTTGTATGATTTCTACATTTAATAACATCATGCATATACTGAAGTAATAATTTCTTATGTAGTACTTTGATGACCTCTATACTATGTCGTACACGAAAGTTCAAGTGGAAGAAGTCAAAGAGGAAATATGTCAATTTTATGTTGAAAACAGATTATTCTGATGGGTATGAATAAAATATTATTGTACGTGTTAGTTTGATTGTGTTGGAGCCTTTAATATTGTTTGTTTAATTGACCGTGTTGTTCATATTCATACTTTGCAGGATGACGACCGTGTCGGTGGAGCATTATTTTCGATGTAATTATATATGATTTAGTTATGGTTACAAATGTATATAAGGATTGAATAATGGTTAC